AAAAATTATCAAAATGTCTCAGTTATAAAATATCTTTAAAAAAATTCCCATCGTTAAAAGAATAAATAACAAAATATATAAAAAATAACTTGGTTGCATCAAAATTACAAGTAGGAGTTGTGGATAGGGTATTTTTTTTCTTTTTTTTTTTTTGAATATTTTTGGAATATCATTTTTTATGGTCAAAAGTTTTAATTTTTAACTTTTTTTTGCTTCTTTTATCTTCTTTTCTATGGTGCTGTGTCCAGTTTAAAATAAGTATAAAATTAATAAATAAAAAAGTTAAATAAATAGCAAAAAGTTAACATAAGGTGTTGTCAATATAAATTACATACATCTTGCCAAAATTAAATAATTTACAGGATAATTAAACTAACTACTTTTTTTTCTTTTTTCCTCTCTTTCTTCCAGGAAGTGCAATTTCTCTACTTTTAAATACTAACTGAATTGCAGTCACAATCGATTTGGACTCTATTTACACGTTAAGAACTTTGTGTTTTTAACACCTCGAATTCTTTTTTTTATTTTTTTCCCCTTTCTTTTGTATTTTTGCACTTGGAATGGGTTCTAAAATAAGTGAACTCGTGGAGTCTGATCCTGCAAACACTTAAGTATGGGAACAAACCCCCCTGTGCCAGCTGCCCCGCTGAACTCCATGGCTGGATCCAGTGGCCGCTGCGGTCACTGGGAAACTTTCTACTGACTTCTCCAAATTGTGGATGTTGCCCTAAATATCTGCAGGATTGGGCTCAAAACGGCACCACAGTCTTGCCTTTAGTATGGGAAAAATGCTCCCCAGCTCTACCTGCCCCATCACTGGGAGGGACGCGGGATGCAGGATGCAGGATATGGATGCACCCCATGCTGGGACACCTGGAGGTGGGGGGGTTGCCCCTGTCCGCTTCTGAACTGTTTGCAGCAAGGGGCCAGTGAGCTCCCTGCTCAGATGGGAGCGAAGGTGCGGAGAGCAAACCCGCGGGTGACAGCCGGCTCCGCGCGCGATGGAGCAGGTGCTGGGGAGCAGCATCGCAAAGACATTCATGTTCTTTAAGTGCACAGTGGGCTGCAGGGCTGCGTGTACCGAGCTGCTGACAAAATGCTTCTTTGGAAGAATACCCAATACCTGAATACTTTTTTTTCCTTTACTTTTTTTTTTTTTTTTTTTTTCAGAATGGCGCTTGCGCTGCGATTTTGCGCAAAGCGTAGAACACCAAACCAAAAATTACCCATTGCCCTGGGGATATCCGTAAGAAATCAACTACTGATTCCTGGTAGGTAAGCACTTAGCTGGTCGTCAATTAACATCTCTCTTTTTGTTGGTTTTTGTTCCCTTTCTTTTTTTTTTTTTTTTTTTTTTTTTGCTCATTGCAATCTCGAACGTCCTCTGGCATTGATGTATGATCTGTGGACTGGCAGTACTGCGCCACGGTAAGGATGATCACTATAATGAAAAGAACCAGAACTGTCATCAAACAGACTTCCAAAAAATCATATACACCGGACCATGACACGTTAAAGAATTTTTCCATATGAAATATCTGGTAGTGGCCTATTCATAATAGCTATTCTCATCTTTAAGACAGACAAAGGAATACTGTAGTTGCAAACTCCAAAAAGCTTCCCTGAGAACCTTTTTTTTTTTTTTTCCATTGCGCTTTCCACTGGAGATCCAGAACTGCTCTTCAGATTTTTTTCCGAAAATAAAAATAAGCTGCTTTATAATACTTCAGAGTTCCCATGCCCAGTGGATATCTGAACACCTCCGGGGTGGGAGGCCCAGCACAGGTTCAGATTTACAGGTAGCTTGCAGCTCCAGCACTTGTAGCAACATAGAACGTAATTTCATGGGTGAGTAGGTGATCTGGACATACGACCATAGACAACATGAGGGTTTAAGCCAGTCATCAGGCTAGTCTTGGATCAGACAAGACCCTGTTCTTGTAACGTTTTAACCCTTGGATTGACTCTGCAAGAGCATGGCGGCTCATGAAAGACGCCTGCTCTTCACCAGCTACCAAGCCCCACAGCCTACTGCAGAATTTAGCCTTCCATCCTGATCTGCCTCGTGGTCCAGGTAGAAAAAATCCCACTGTTCTCAAGAAGGTCCGAAGTTACAACGAGAACATTGAGTTCGATCGGTTCCACGTCTCAGAAATGGCCTCTTGGTTACATTTTTGGTCCTTTTTTTTTTTTTTTTTCTTCATTCATGAAACAAGTTTTCTAACTTGTAAACCTGAATACTTGGAGGGAAAGTTCCATCTTACAGTCTGTTCGCTCGCTCGTCTCCATCCCGTGGCACTACACCTGGATGCCCTTGACGGCTTGCTTGATGCTCTCCAGCAGGTCCTTGTTCTCCGGGTTCTGGTAGCACTCCTGGTTGGTGTACATGTCGGTCAGCGTGTTCACGTACGCATCAAAGTTCTGCTCACTAATTGGCTCCTGCAGCCAAAAAAAAAAAAACCCAATAAAAGCATTAGTGGTAGAGCAGGAAGAGGCTGAGATGTTTCTTTGCAATCAATCACCTGTGTAGGCACCAACAACTGAAGGTCTCCGTGTCGGAACCTTTTTGTGCACGGTGCTGTACATACAGGAATCTCATCGTGCAACCCCTGATCATCGAATCATCGAATCATAGAGGTTGGAAAAGACCTCAAGGATCATCAAGTCCAACCCAACACCACCTAACTCACTAAACCATCTCCCTAAGCACCATGTGATCCTGACGGTTCTTGACGGGATCTTTAATTTTAAGCGTTGGCCTTGCGGAACTATTAACAGCGCCAGGTTAAGCGTGTGCAGGCAGTTTGACAGGCCTGAGGCTGAATGAAACCGTGGAAATGAGGGGCTGGAGGATGAGAGGACTGCTGAAGCATCACGGAGGGAGTCAAAGGCAACGTTAGGAACCCGGTCACCTTGGGCTGGCGCCTGCCCACGCCGGCACGCTGCTGCTGCCGTGCAGCTTTTGCTTTTGAAGGGCATCGTGGAAACCTTGTAAATATCTAACTTGGAGTTAATGGGGAAAAAAGAAAGGGAGAAGGGAGGAAAAGAATGGGAATAAAATGAGCATACGAGTCTCGTGGGCATTATTTAATTGGAGATGCCTGAAACCTTGAAAAAATATTTGCTGAACAGTTTATTTGACCTTTATGTGTCAGATACTTCACAGAAAAGCACTCAGCGAGCGGTTTTCTGCCAGTTAGGCAGCTGGGTGAATACTATCCAAAATTGCTCTGCTGGAGGATGGCTTCCCTCCAGCCAGCCTGAATTTAAATACCAACCCCAATGAAAAGAATTCCCAAAAAAAGATGGCAGACAAAAATTAATCAAAAGCTCAGTCCTCTGATCGTTGCGATGATCTTTATGAGTTGTAAGAGGACAACATCCCCAACAACGTGAACCCCCCCCTCCACACACCTGATTTTGACAACAGTAATTACATTCTGGGGAATAAAGAGAAGGTAATTAATAGCCTTTTGTGGTTTTACTATTTTAATGCAGTCTTTTCATTTTGCAGTAACTCTATGGTAACATGCTGTGGGCTGTTAGACCTTGTTAAATTAAACAAAATACACTCTCTTTAAGAATGCTATTCTTTGGCTGCCAGCTATTCAAAACTGAATTGAAACTACCTGCATTATAATAGGAGCTGTAAGATCTTTCTGACATTGAAATCCAATCCCTCCTGATCTCTGCTTGTGCTGTCTTAGCCTAAAAGGCGCTGGGTGCCCTTGATAAAGTTTCCTATTTTGTGATAATGCTCCCAGATGTAATGAGACAGAACAATAGTTACAAAGGCAGATCAGCAGAAAATGACAACAAAAGGGAGATACAATGCAAGCTTCAGAGATAAGGCAAAAGTACTGATCTTATAAAGGACACGTAGGTGTGTATAAAGAAATTCTCCCACTCTTTAATTGTACATAAGCCTCGTCAGGAACTGGGTTTGGCACAGCTCCCTTGACCACGCTGGCTGGGGTGAGTGCCGTCCAAGTTTCTTACCATGTGCGGAAGGCGGATATTGGCAAGACTTTGGATTAGAGCCTGGCTCAACCCTGAGAGCTCCAGGAACAGGGCTTCGTTTTGCTCCTCTATGATTTTGTTTTCCTCCTCAATGTTCTTCAGGTTCTTCTCCATGGTGGAGATCTGCAGAGCAAGGCACATGGCAGGGTTATCAACCCTCTCGCAACGGCACCCACCACCACCAGCCCCCATGCACGGGGCTTGGCCATGCGTCCATGGCTTGGGTGCACGTCCAAGCACACAAACCTGCGACTGCAGCTTCACCATGGCCGCTTCCATCTCGGAGTTGGACTCGTTCAGCTCACTGATCTCCTTGTTCAGCTGCTTGATCTCTTCATCGTTCTCCAGAACTGCAGGAGAGAAGGTCACGGGCAGTCAGCAAATGCTCGTGGGAAAAGAAAAACTCCTGGGCTTTCTGCAGAGCCCATCCTGTTGCGTAGACATCACCACTCACAAAGTCCTCACCTTTGCTTTTACATCCTCTAAGCAGCATGCACATATCACCTGCCTTTTTTTTTTTTTAATTGATTTTTTTAGTAAGGTCTTTAGCATCACAGTTCAATGATACTTTATAGGTCAATATGAAAATGCAAAAGCCAACGACAGCATAGCAGTTGGAGTCCAGCACCTCCATGCACCCTGCAAGGTTGATGGCCCTGAAAACTCAGGTCATTCTGTCCAGTCCTGAGTTTGGGAAGATGCCATTTAAAGAACTAATGCATGTCTTGATTAGAAATTATGAGGTTCATAAAATAAAGCAATATTTCTAGAAGAGTGCAGGTATTTATAGATTCCAAACTCCGTAAGTATTTAAGTTAAATGCCTGAACGTTGTCAAATACCACAGAAACCTCAGTAATAGCGCTGGAAATGCAAAGTGCCGTCGCTAACAAAATTCCAGCTCCAGAAATATCTGCAGGATTAAAAGCCCTGAATAGGTGAAAATTGCTGAATGACTGCAAGGGATTTGTAAAAATGCCAGTGAATATTTCAGAAAATGGAAACTCCTCCTTTATCATTTCACCTGCTCCCTCCCACTTGGGGAGCGGTGCCGGTACCGTGCCACCCCCCAATATCCAAACAACCCAAGAAATGGGTGTTCATGGTACATCTGAGGCCAGAAATCTGAGACCAGATTTCAGTTGTTGAAACCTTCCTAGTCTGCAAAGAAAAAGATTTACAGGCTCAATACCCTGACACACCTGCAAGGCAAAAGGAGTGAAAGCCCCTTACCGTCGCTGGTCTTGAACTTTGTGTTGAGAATTTCATCCCCTGAGAGTTTTCCTTTCTTCCCAGCAAAAGTAGCTCTTGGACACCCTGACAAACTGAAAAGCAAATAAAAATGGGTTTCATAAACTCTCACTATTCATAGGTGCTTATGTTCCCAACAAAAGCACGTACCATTTGGTGGAGTTCATGCTGCGAGACAGTTCTTCTAAAAGCTTTTTATGGTACAGAGGAAATTGCTTTATGAATAATGCCACAAAACTCCCCATTTATAAGGCAAGAGCAATTTTCCCTGAACAAAGATTAGAAACCACATTGTTTCCTAAGAGTGGGTATGAGAGGTGAGGAAGGTGAGATGAGTCTGGCCGGTTTGGGCATCAAACCTCTGCTTTGGGTGTGAAAGTCCTGCTCTGGCTTGCTCATGGAAGGACTTTTCATTATTTTGCTCAACCCACATCTCACAATTGAGATAATAAAACAACTACGGGTTTTCTTTGGTGGAGAAAACTCCAACCTTGGAGCAACCTGACCGAGGTCAGCATCAAAAGCACCAGCTATTGAGCCTCGCATGAAGAACTGAACGATGCTCAACAGCATCTACAGGCAGGTAGGTTAGTCCACGACAATGTTGTCACTCTCCCGGTGATTTCAACCCTGTGTTGTACCTTCTGTGAGTGAGGAAGCTCCCATTGGCGTGGCCGGAGCCGTCACAGCCCGGGGTAGGGCAGGTGGGACCTTCATTCTTCAACGACTTCCAGGAAAATGAGGAGCCGTTGAGCGACCCTTCCTTCTGCCGGCGGGCTGCGAGAGGACACCCCGATGCGCTCCGGTGAGAGGCGTATTTGCCGCTGATGTGTCCAAGCCCAACGCAGCCAGGAACCGGACACCTGGCCAGAGGGAATTACCAAAAGTTACAGCATGGGAATGAAGAGGGACATAAGGAAATGAGGGATGAGGAGGAATGAGGAAGTCTGGGAAGAGAGTGTTCGCATTTGGGGATCTCATCTGGATTTTATGGAGTAGATGCTAGTTGATGGAAATGGCAGATGGGAAATTAAGAGCTATGGTTGCCCCTCCAAAAGGGTTGTTCTGGAAGCACTGACACGACTTGTGCTAATTGCCGGGAGGGTGAGTCCTCCAAAGCACCTCTCTCCTCCCCACTCGCAAACCTCCCGCCTAATGGCGTGCTCACCAAATTCAGCCGTTCGACAAAACCCCGGGTATCCATTAAGGTTTTTGCTGTGGTTTGCATTTCTTTAAAGATGCTAGTCAATTATAAATGCCGTTAAAAGTTTATTACTCAAGGGAGGTTACTCTAAAAAAGGGGAGGTGGAAGTAGGTAAGAAATGGCAAAAATAACCCCCGTGTCCTCGGTTTGAAAGCAATTAGGGACTTCGAGTTTCCCCGGCAAAATATCCGCTGAGCTGCTCCTGAAAAATCACAAGCTGCGTTTTGCCGCAGAAATGATTACCCTGATTGTTTATATTTCGTACAAAAGGGAGCTGACAGCAGAAGGGGGGAGCTGTACACCCAGCCTTTTCCCAAGATAATTTGAAAAATGCTGATCTCGATTTTAATCAGCTGCAAATGCAGCACAATTCACTTATAATATCCCTGCCAGCAGGATCCTCAGTAAATTCATAACATCATTGCTTTTATATGATCACGAGCAAATTACTGAATCCTCAAGAGGAAAAGGAGAGGAGGGGGGGGAAAGCGGGAGAGAGAAAGAAACAAACCCCAGCATTTAGTATGCAGCCGTTACGGCCCAGCCGTTACATATTTTACACTATTAATTTACCTTTCATTACATTTTCATTGTTAAAAAAATAAACCGGAGCAAACTAGCTGGCTTGGACAACTTTTTTCTTTTTTTTTTTTTTTTTTAATTATTATTTAACGGAAGCACCAGTAGCCATTTGATCAATTCGGCAGCCGCGGATGCTTCCGTTTTATGCCAGGGCTGGGCTGAAGGTTGAGGTGATCTGTTCGATCACGCCTGTAGCAAATTACTTGAAGGATGAACAGCAAACCCAACAGGGACTAAACGACTTTCTCCTCGATGGCCACGTGCAAAACTCGGCCAGGTTCCAAGCGGCGGAGGATGGATTTAGAGCCAAAGCTCCTTAACGCCAACCTGCACCTTGCTGCGGGAGGCAGAGCACGAGCTGTCCCGGGGCTGGGGGGAGGTGGCAGCGAAGGGACCGTTGAACCGTGTTGTTTTGGACGTGTCAGAGGAGCTTCTGCTCCTCCTGGGCGTGCTGGAGGGGCTTCGCTCCTGTGCGGGGGGGGGCTGGGGGGG